CATTACCAGCATTTGATTTTACTTGAAAGAAAATGTAGTCGTGGGCATGTTGAATATTGTTCGCTCGAGCTTCTGCCTGTTTTTAAAAAGTCTATATGGAGCCTTATTAATCTTTTCCCGCTCGGCGTCGGCAGAGCTGGACAGCCTTTTGTCCTTCAAAAATAAAAGTATGACTTGAGATATATTTATATGTAGAGATATTAATGTAATGCACACACCACTTATTTTTTTTAACCAAGTCCTATTTGACGCAGAGGCTGTACGGAGATATGGCGTTTAATAATAGTGGTATTTTTTCCAAATTTGATAATGCAATAGGTTTACTCGTGTGATGTTTGCCGCGTGGAGACTTGTCATGTCAAGAGATGGGTGGAACCATTAACCCTCCTGTCAAAAGATCCCCCCCCTCTCCTTTAATATCATCTCCAAAACTCATTACACTTTTAATAATTTTCTCATTGCATGTGCTGCTTCAAATTTAGTTGAGTTCATATTCAAGAGAGGAGGAGGGTTGATGGTTCATCCTCCGATCGACGTTAACAGACTGTGCCTTTCCTGACGGTGCTGAAAAAAATCAAAGAGATCTTAACTTTCAGACAGGGCGCTGAGGCCCGTTGATAAGTATTGATACATGACGATACTGTAAGGCGTGATTGTGTTTGTTTTGTGTTTGTGGATACCTCGGACATATGCCAAGAACAGAAAATATGCAGAACTGATCAGTGTGGAGCTGACAGGACCAAAAGGCCTGTGGGGGGTGGGCACTCGAGCACAACCCAGAAACATTTGTAGAGAATCAAATCATGTAGTAACGAGTAGCTCAGTTGAGACTTTATGTAGCATTATTTATTTATTTCTAAGATGCCTCCCTTTACTGCCTGTACACCCATAACCCCCCCATGCTCATCTTAAGTGGACGGCAATAATGAAGCAATCGTCTGTGCAATCCATTTCTCTGGCCTCCATTAGTGTATGCATCATTGTCTTTTATCTTCTAATATGAAATTACGTTTACAGATAGCGCTAGTTCTTGGGGTTGAGTTATTTCTCCACGAGTGCCCGTTTCCCCACAACAATAAATCTTGAACCCTCTGCGGTTGGCTGCATATCATACTCATAAACAAAACGATGTTTGGGTTTCACAGTATATTAATGTGCTTTTTTTTTCTTTTTTGCCTGATTACTAAATGGTGTCACTTTTAGAACTAAAACTGTACGTCAAGACCTTTTTTTGTCTTAACACTCATCTGATCCTGGTCCTAAGTTGAGCCTTTTTATTTGGTTGTCATATTTAATTTTTTGGAATAAATACTCTATGTATGAAATGTGTGTTTGCTTTTTAAATATGTTCTTACGCAGAATTTTATCACATGAATACTGTCTACACAATCTTAACATTAGTTTCAGCTTTCGCTTGCTCCAGCTGTCATACATGAATTTAACTGTGTACGGTCTGGTTAAGTCACATGTTTAAAGAGGCCCTATTGTGCTTGTTGGGGGTTTCCCTTTCCTGTAGTGCGTCTATAGGTTTGTGTGCATGTACATGCTCTGCAAAGGTCCCCCCCTTGAACTCCTTTGTTTACTTCTGTAACATAGTGACATCACTCTGGCTTCTATTGGCTAGTGCTCCATCACATTGTACGTGATAGGCTAAGGGGTGGGACATCTCTAAGCGGTTGACCAATCACAACAGAGCCGGTCAGCTAACCAATCAGAGCAGACTGGGCTCTGGTTTCAGACAGAGGGTGAAAAGAGGTGCTGCAGCACAGGCAGTATGAGAAACATAAAGAGCTTTTTGAACATTAAAGCCTGGAGACATGTCCCAGTAGAGATACTTAATATGAACCTGAACATTTGCAGAATAGGGCCCCTAACAAATGTAGGTTAATATTTAGCTTTCTCTTAGTGATTCCACACACCAAAAAGTTACAAAAATCTAAAAATTATGGAATAACATTTTGTTTCCCTGTAAAGAAAATCTGAGTAAAAAGCCTAAGCATAATAGAGCTGATGTGCAATAGTAATGTGACAATTGCCCTAAACATATGTGTTTCATAACAAATGTATGACCACCATTTGTTAAATAATCTCATTACTACTGTATGCTTTGGTAGAACTTAAAGTGGACCTATCATGCTATATTTGAATAATATAGTGTAGGACCATACCTATATAAGGCATATTTATACTTTTTTTTTTTCAAAATACCAAACAGATCATGCATTTTAGCCATGCCTCATTTCGCTCTATTTGACATTTTTTAGCTCTGTTTTTGCAAGGGCTGATTCTGTGAGCAACAGCACCACTTACAGGCCTGGCATATGTACTACAGCGTCTCCAGCGCTTTCGAACGGCAATGGCCGTGGCTGTCTCCTCCTGATTGGTGGAGTTGGCCCAATAGCCGTAGCGCGTGTTCAAATCTGGATCAGTTTTGATCAGATCCGTTGCAGCCCCTTTTTTAGAGATTTGGGTATGGAGGAAAATAGAGAGGGTTGTGTTTTCTGACACTTGGTGAGTTCCCTGGAACACCGGGGACACGTATTCATGTATAAAAGACGTACAAAAGTGCATTTAGCATGATAGGTCCCCTTTAAATTAAAAGCAAATAGGGGCTTAAAACAAATATGATTCTTGTCAGACGGTAAGAAGCCAGTAACATGAAGCTGAATGATGCTCTCAGGGGTTTTAGGTCAATTGAGCCAATAAGCAGCAACATCATCTGAAATGATATCCAACATTCATCAGAATCTTCACCTGCTTTGGGATCATGAGAAAATGTGATTCATAAAACTTAGTTTATAAATGGTAGGCCTACACAATAAACGAATAAATGCTGTACTGGGTTCAGAATACAACAGACACTATAAAGGATGTTATCTGTGTACATGCCAGAGTTCCCGTTAGCCGGTAATTACCGGACAATGACCGGTAAAATATGCTGAAGTCCGGCAAATCTAAATCTCTCCGGTCAAAATGTCCGGTCAAAATAATTTTCCCTTAGCGCAATACCGCATCAGTTGCGCCACTTATGTGACAGACAAGAATAGTATGTGACAGACAAAAGAGTATGTGACAGACAAAAATTGTCAATTCTAATGTCTAACACTTAATGTGGAGAAAGAGATGTCCTGTATGGGTTGATTGTGCGTTGATCTGTTGGTAATGCCTCGGGGTTCCGGTGGGCATGTAAACAAATGCATAATGCTGCGCTATACTTTGTGGCCTCATCCGGTTGCATAGCGACGCTTATTGTTTAGGTGTCTTTTAACAAGCAGGTAGTCATATCATTAGCTAGAACTAGCTAGATCTGATCGATATGGACATAAATGCGAGTAAAGTCTAATCTGACAGGAGAGAGAGATCGGCTGCTGCTGACGAGTCGACACGCAGCTCTGCATGATCCCCTGCAGCGGCGAGCAGAGCAAAACACACTTCAGGTTAGAAAATCACACGTAGCTATTTTAATTACCTCTCAAACTACCTAAACTAGTTATAGATATGTTTAGTTTTACTGTCGGGTCACTCATTACTGGATCCGCGAGCTGCATGATACTGACGGGCTGTCAGGAGAAGGAGAGAGCGCTCCGTTTATTATTCCCGCGTTTTTGTAAATTACTGTACACTTTTGAATAATGTAGTTAATCTACTATAATTAGTTTGTTTAATGTCGAATCATATCAATTTGTTTTAAAGCTCAATAAATAACAAAGAAGACCTTTAACCGGCACTTATCTAATTTTGTCCGGAAGATTTCAACTTTAACGGACATGTTGACCGGCAAAAAAATATTCTAACGGGAACTCTGGTACATGCAGTACACTAGCATTCTGTGCGTTCATTATTACTGACAGGAAATGGCAGGGGGGCGGTTATCAGTCACTTCCTGTTTGAAAGACACACTTTATAACTGTTCTCTGCATCGTTGTGTAATCTCTGTGTTTACGCTTCCGCCTGTTTCATGCCTATAACTCCGAATTAGCTCTCCAATGTTCTCTCTCCACTTCCCGCTTATGTAACGTCCGCTGGTTTTTAATTGCTTTATCCCTCTCTCCTATAAAACACTTGTCTCTGATTAAACAGTGCCCTGGTCAAACTGAGTCACAGGAACATGATATTAAACCAGACGCAGTAAGATTCTGTCCTGATGGAACCTGCTTCATCTGTACCCAATGGTCGCAAGTTGGTACTTGTTCCCTTTGGAACACCACAGTTTTCTTCAACAGAAAACACGATTTCCAGTTTTGTACGTTACTTCTACAGCTTGAATAGGCATAAAACTACTGTATAATTGTAAGTATTTCCCCCCTTCATGTATTCCCATTTATAAATACAAATATTTTTGAAGTAATAACATTGAGGACAAAGCCCTTACATTTGAGGTTTTATGAATTGGGTGTCTTTGGTGACATTCCCCAGATTTGTGACACAATATTTTCGGGAAGTGAGATAAATGACTGCTTCATTCAATGGGTGTTTTTAAATTATGATGCATTTTTGGATGAACTCGGCAACGACCCGCTATTTGACTTAATAACAATAATAGGTTCAGATCTAATGGCTGATCATGAACCAGCCACCTTCACAATGGCTTACAACGTTCTGTACTGTAGGATCCATGAGATGAACTCTCCTAATACATTTTAAACCCTTATCCCAAAGGATAATTTAAGGTGGTACCAAAATGTTTTGGTCCTTTTGACAGCTGTAATGTTGATGAACATGAAACGTATGCATGCTAATACCATTCACTAAATTACAGCTTTGAATTGAAGCTTGAAAAAACCCAGAGAATGAGCAGATACAGAACAGAAACTAAACGTGCGCATTAAGCGTTAGTTGTATTTTCACCTGTAATAATACGGACATGAGACAAGGACACTAAGCCGTCTGTTAGCCACAGTGATTGGTTCAACTCAAATTTGTAAAAACATTTAACATGAATCATTTCTCCAGAACTTTCATGAAAGGGTGCCTCCTTGTATATTCAGTCTTGGATGGCCTCATTTAGAGGGGTGAGGGGGGTGAGGAGGGTGAGGGGGGCCTCCACACCTCAGGATGTGCAGCTTGGCCATGATGTTCCTGACGCAGTGGTTCAACATGCTTCTGACGGCCGCTGAGGAGAAGTAGAAGATGAAGGGATCCAGGCAGGCGTTGAAGGTGCTGGCGAGCAGCGCCACGTTCCTCCACTCCTCGCTCTCCTGGCGGACGAACCCCACCACGTGGGAGGCGTTGTAGGGCCCGAAACACACCACGAACACTATCAGCGTGCCGAGCGCCAAACCGATGGCCCGCAGCCTCTTCCGCCTGCTGATGTTGGGAAGCTTGGACAGGATGTGGATGAAGTTGGCGTAGCAGAAGCAGCAGATGAAGAAGGGGACGCAGAAGAGGACGAAGAAGAGCTCCAGGCGAACCGGCAGCAGGATCTTCAGCTCCTCCCCGGTGAAGTTCAGGTAGCAGGTATGTGGAGGCGGGGCGTTCTTACCGGCGGTGCTGCCTTCGTCCTGGTCACGCTCTGCCCCGCTGCTCCACTGGGCGTAGGGTATGATGTAGACGATGCTGAGGTTCAGAGAGGTCACCACCCAGAACACCAGGCTGGCGTACACGGCGTAGCGAGGTCTGCGACACAGGGAGTACCTGAGGGGGAACGCCACCCCCAGGTATCGCTCCACACTCACAGCGGTGAGGAGCAGGGTGCTGTTGTAGATGGTGACGTAGAACAAGAAGCCAGTGAGGGGGCAGAGGGGGTAGGGCAGCAGCCACACCATGCCGTCAAAGGCCTCTTTAATTTTAAAGGGCAGGAACGCCAGGAAGATGAGGTCTGAGATGGTGAGGTTCAGCAGGAGGATGTCGATGGGGGCGGGCTTGCGGCGCACCTTTTTGCAGAAGGTGAAGAAGGCCAGGATGTTGGCGGGGACCCCCATCAGGAAGGTGACGATGTAGACGGAGAGCAGCAGGCGGTTGCACACCATGGCGGCTCACCAGGGACTCTCAGACTCTGGGGGCAGGAAAACACCAGTTATGATTCAGAAGAAAATATTCCAGGCTAATTCTTCTCATTGTAAATATTTTTATTTCAAAGAGACATCCCTTTTTTAAGTTTAAGTTTTGTTTGATAATTATGAAGGGAATTTCTAAAGCTTGGTCTCATTTTCAGCCTCAATAGTGATTTGGTAATGGCAGCTTACCCCACTTTGGTCCAGACTCAAATATCTTAACAACTTATAAATGAATTGCCAATCAATGTTGTACAGACAATCATGGTCCTCAGAGGATGCATATACTGACTCGTGATCCCCTTCCAATAGATTGCAAATCAAATTGTATTCATGTCTGGATAAAAGTAATCAAATCAAAGATGCTTTATGAACAAACAAATGCAAAACGAATGATATTCCCAGCAGCCTCAGCTGTAGTTAATAAGCAAACGTTAGCATGCTAGCACGCTAAATTGAGTTGATGAACATACTGTAGCAAATGTTATACCTGCTAATCATACTTATTACCTCCATTAAATACATTCCCTGAAGGAAATCAAGACAATACAATTTATATAAAGATTTATTTTAAAGGAAACAAAGTCAGAAGTCTTTTCTTCTTCTTTCTTTGAGAACATAAAATGTTAAAGGCTAAAGTTGTTCCAGGTACACTTAAACTAAAAAGGTCAACTTTTTCAGTGGTAATGTCAAACTAACTACTCAAAGAAACTATCATATTCATTCATAATTTAAATAGTGCTGAAATCCACTTTAAATTGCCTTCAGGTGCCTTGAATGTTGTATTTTATGTATTTTTACTAATTGCCAAAACATTGAAGAAAAGACTAAAACCCTCACTGTCAGCCGCCTTCCATCACTTTCCAACTTCTCTACGCTGTCTGTGGTACTCCAGCCCAAGCCAATTGCTTCTATATACGTATGTATATCGTTTTTTAAATGAGATCAATCCTAAGTGTTTTAGCATTTGAAAGGGTAAACTCAAATTGGAGTAAATTGTTCATATGTGAGGGACTATTTTGTTGTTTCTGTAATGAAGGTTAGGACAGTGTGTGGGATTGTCTGCCCAAAGAAGTGCCAACCTTCATCTTAATAAAAATATCCTGTCACAAAATACAAGTTTCTTACGTTATCAATTTTTAGACAACAATGGAAGTCTATGATACAAAAAAATAAGAATATGTACAAGCTTTGTATGCAAAATATATCCTAAAGTACACCATTAGTCTGTTGGGAACTAAAAATTAAAACATTTACCTTCCCCAGTTTTTCTGCAAAACTTAACACCAAATACCTTCGCCAAATATGACTGATACAATATAGATATACAGATTTATGAGTTACTTTCAAATAGTGTAACTCACCTGTGTAAAGCTAGATAAACCTGGCTCTCCATCCCGGTGCGGCTGTCCTCTCCGATGCAGACTGTTTGATCAGATTAATAAGGCTGTCCCGCTGAATATCTGCTATCTCTCCTTCAATAAGGGGAAATTCACAAGCTCAGGCTTTGTTCTTCCCGCTCTCCAAACATCATCTCCCAGCAACCGGCCATAAGCTCGCTGTCATGCAGGTGGACATGTGTTGTGATAACTTTTTTTCTGTGAGAAGTGTTAACGGTGACAAAGAGAAGTGCAGATGTTGCATCAGGGAGAATGTATCTGTGTGGTGTCCACCAGAGGACTCAGAGGTCCATCTACAGGCTCCAACAGAAACATGATTTCTGTATCCACAACAATGCTTAAACAAACATGCAGTGGCTGCAAAGAATGGGCAACACCTACTTTTTATAATTGTATTTACAGATGAGTTGAAATGAAGTCCTGGAGCCCTCATCTAATAAGGGTTTCTCTTTTTATAAACCAAACATTATCGGATTATGCAGAGGTAGAAGAAGTACTCAGATCCAAGTACCAGAGTGTAGGAATACTCTGCTACAAGTAAAAGTCCTGCATTCAAAATGTTACTCGAGTAAAAGTACAAAAGTATTGGCATCTAAATATACTTAAAGTACCACAAGTAAAAGTAATCATTGTGCAGATTGTTCCATTTCAGAATAATATGTATGATATGTTTTATAATGATTGATCATGAAAGTGTTCTCAAAGCTGGTAAAGGTGCAGCTAGTTTGAATGACTTTGTATACTGCAGGGTAGCTTGTGAATTTACTCCAGGTGGAACTAAAGTCTGATTTAACACTTGATTAGATTTCACATCATTCATCCACATCTGTAAAGTAACTAAAGGTATTAAATACATGTAGTGGAGTCAAAGTACACTATTAACCTCTGAATTGTAGTGGGGTGGAAGTTCAAAGTAGCAAAAAAAGTCCTTCACAATTGAACTTAAGTACAGTACTTGAGTAAATGTACTTAGTTACTTTACACCACTGTGAATGAGCCTGTTTTTGATTAGCTGCACGCTTCTTTCGGTGTGGTAAAACAGCAAAAAGGAAATAGTTCCAACATGAAACTAGTCACAAGAAGGTCAGTGGATTATCTTGAGTAAATGAGAGACATTGCTGTTGAGTTCAACAAATGTGCGCTTGGAGCACCACAAGTCAGGTTCCATCTACTTTCATTATTATGGAAAGAAGGCAGACAACCTCTGCAGGCCGTGTCTCCAAACTTTGGCAACTCAAACTACACTTTGAGTATCAGAAAAAAAAAATGTTGGGATTATTTTGGATAACTATCCCATGAATTTCAACTCAAAATGTATCTTTACATAATCCATTCACTGGAATATTCACTATCAATTTCATAACACATCCACGAAGATTCAACTCGACATCTGTGTGTCTTTGCAGGAACACCAAAAAGGAGTCAGACCTGGCTGCAGCGCTGCTGAGGCTCAAACTTTGTATACTGCAGGGTAGCTTGTGAATTTACTCCAGGTGGAACTAAAGTCTGATTTAACACTTGATTATATTTCACATCATTCATCCACATCTGTAAAGTAACTAAAGGTATTAAATAAATGTAATAGAGTAAAAGTACACAGTAGCATTTAATGGAAATACTCAAGTAAAGTACAAGCATCTCAATATTCTATTTAAGTATGTACTTAGTTACTTCCCACTTCTAGTATTCTGTATATATTAAAAAAATTGCAATTACATTCCAAAAAAAAAAAGGAATGTTTGTAATTTTTGTAAATAATACCCAAAGCTATACATAAAAGATGCTTATATAAGCCAAAAGTATCTCTATTGCAAGTTCTGGTATAAAATCTAAAAATGAAAACCAATTCTTATCAGCAGCTACATCAATGGTTGGTAGTCAAATGAGACCAGTTATCAGTAAGTAGTGGCGTGTTTGATTTTGACATATCATTGGTTAATGAGGTGATTACATTTGTATTGTTCTGTGATTTCATTAATGATACTAAATGTGTAATGTTTTGAATGTTGCTTATAATTCTTGCTGTATTGTATTTGCTTAGATGTAAGATGTCCATTCAATAATAACAGATAACAACTCATTAGACTGATTTAAAATGTATGATGCTTTGCTAACAAGTCTTTATTTAAAACATGACATTAGTATGTACCTTAACAGATTTACTGAAACGTTCCCCACTGTCTTGATTTGAACAAAACTGACAATTATTTTGTATCTCCATGACAGCTGTGTCCTAGCCAACAGAAAGTCATATTTTAATATAAACTTTAGTCTTTAAAGATAACAGACAATCTACATAACACATTTGCAAACATCCAACTTAATTTAATTTGACAGTTTATCTAATTAATATGTCCAGAAACCAATCAACTAGTACTCAAACAGATCTACATTGAAGTGTAAAACTGATTTCAAACATCAAACTGTTGATAAACCTATACAGCCTCAGAAGTGTTTTCACTTTTAACATCAGAGGAGCACAGGTGCAACTAATAACATGAACGACGTGCTGCAGGTGCCAAAACAAAACACAGTATATCTGTTGCACCCCCCCCCCCCATTTTAAAGGCCCTTTCGGAAAGATAACAAGCAGTATGGTGTATTAATTGACCAGTTTGAGGTTGGAGCAGACACTATCCAGACACCAGATGGAGCCATGTGTCCTCACACTGACCACCTGATGTAAAGGTAGGCACAGTTTCCAATTACTGGTTTAAAACTAAGGTTTGATTAACTACTGCGTTTTTTTAGAGAAAATCTTTTTCATTCCAAAGATGTGCAGTTTCTTCAATCGAAACCCTGCATTTCCATCTCTGTTAATAGTTCCTTTTTACTGTATAATTATCAAAAACATTGACATAACATAGGTTATTTTGACACTGTATGCTGTTGGCAAAACAGCCTTACACTCTGTTTTTCTTATTTCATCTAAATGTGCTGGATATATGTTAGGAGGACTTTAACTGTATCTGAACCAGATGAGTGGTGATGTGGACATTTTCTGGAGCCGCTGAAAGGTACACACAACGGCTGACCGTTGTTATCCTGTTCCTCCTTTTGGATCTGTCACATTTTCTTCCCGGGATACCTTTGGCCTCCCCCCACTGTGACCTCACTCATGGCTTTCTTTGGTCACCTGGGCCCCCGCCTGGCTCCTCTCAATTAGTGTTTGTGGTGTCCTTGCATTAGCAACACCATTAGCGCTGTTAACTCGATGCCGACCCCCCTCAATCCGGCTGAATTGGCTTTGCCGTCCACACATTCTTCCCATGAACCCCCTTGACGACGCTGGCGACAGCATCATCATGACCACGGGCTCCAGGAAGACATTAAAGGAGCTGGTCAGCATGGCGTACGTCCTCCACTGAACATTTGCATGTTGAACAAACCCCACAATGTGCGAGGCGTTGTAGGGGGCATAGCACACCACGAACACCGCCAGCGTGGAGAGAGCAACAGTCAGAACCCTTCTCTTTCCCATGGGGCGCAAATTTGATCGCCACACCAGGGTGACGCAGCGCAGCGTGCAAAACGACGTCACCATAAGAGGCAAAATAAACAAGACGATGGCCATCTCCAGGCGTAAAGGCAGAAGAACAGCCAGCTGGGTGTCGTTGAAGTTGCCGTAGCATTCTAACGTGTCACCCTTAATGGAGACAAAGTTAGGCCCTCCTTCAGTCACCAGGGCAACACTGAGGTGAATGAGCACCAAGACCCACAAGGCAACGCTGATGAAGCAGGAGTTCCGAGCATGGCGGTATCTCTTGTAGATAATGGGGAATGCGATGCTGAGGTAGCGCCCCACTGTCACCACGGTGATGAACAGGCAGCTGCCATACATCGAGGAGAAGAGGAAGAAGCTGTAGATCGGGCAGACGGGTGCTGGTAGCATCCAGTTCTGAAGCAAGGTCTCCAGAGTCTTCACAGGAAGCCAGACCACCAGGGCCAAGTTGGCCAGGCACAGGTTGAGGGCGTAGACCACGTTGGGCGTGGCGCCATGTTTGCGGGCCTTGCGCACGTACACGAACAGGACCAGAAGGTTGGCGGGAAGACCCAGAAGGAAGGTAATGGAATAGACAGCGACTGCAACGCAGTCCTTGTAATCCACCTGCATGTCTTCAGTTTATGACATGGACACTGCGGAGAGGTA